GTGCGCGGGCCGCCGCTCTGCCATGGAGCTCGGTCGGCGGGTGGTTGCCGATGGCGGCTTGTAAGTGGGACTTGTGAGCAGCGTGGGCCGGAACCCAGGTCGTTGGTCTGTGCCACCCTGGGGAAATGGCCCCCAAGCCTTAAAGACGTGAGGTGTCCTGAGATGACCAGGTCACAGCGGGCCTTCGCAGGCCGTGACAAAGGCCCTGCACTTGCTGCACGAGGGCCTGCTAGACCCTGCCAACCTCCCTTGGGGCACTGGGGCGCCACGCAGTGTGTGGGTGGAGAACCCTCCCGGGCAGGGCCAGCTGCCTCCTGCCCCTAGCTGGCTCAGGGTCTGGGGCAGAGCCCAGAAAGGGGACTGCCATGTGGCCCCGCAGCTGCCGTGCTGAGCGTGGGTCAGGTTTCAGCATGGAGGGGCGTGTGCTCCAGGCGCCTATGCAGCTAGGTGAGAGGAGGCCCTGCTCTAGCTAGGCCCCGGGAATGTGGGGGCAATTCCAGGCCAACCCTTCCTGGACTCCCTAAGGGCGGTTTCATAGCTGCTTTTTTTTTTTTTTTTGTCTATAGGGCGCATGCGCTTGACAGAGACAGAGGGCAGAAAGTGGGAAATCAGCCCCAGAGGAGATGGGCACACCGCAGTCCCTTCTCCTTCATTCTCCTCTTGGGGTCTCGGGCATGCACGCATGCACGCACATGCGCCCGGCGTGAGTTTAAACTGCCAAGTTCAGTATTCAAACCACAGTTGACCACATGGGAGTCCAGCAATGTAACCATTACTCCATCTGCTGGCCCCGCAGTGACCTGCGAAAAGAAAATTACCACAGGGTGCCCATGTTGACCAGAGCAGCAGAAAGACAGGAGTGAGTCCCCTCAGTGGGGTGTGGGGTTGTACTCATACACACCTGTCATGTTTATGAGCTACCTGGGCTGGGATTTGAACCATGGTTGGCCATGTGGGATATGGCTCCCTTAAACGCTAGGGTATGGAGCTGGCCCCAAAGGGACTTGTGAAAGACCCAGGTCAGTCACCCCACTGCTCCGAACCCTCCAAGGTTGGTCAGTTCAGGTGGAGACTGGGCTCCACCGGGAGCTGGTGACCGAGTCACCCTCACTGTGTTCACTCCTGGTCACTGGACAGGGACAGAATGACTGGCGTTTGATTATTAATCCACTTGGATTCTTTAATTATTTTTTCAGAATTATTTATTTAATTCCATTTGTTATTTAATTTGACCGGGAGGGAGAGAAAGAGAGAGAGAGAAAGTAAACTGCCAGGTTCAGGACTTGAACCACAGTCAGCCCCATGGAATCCAGCACCCCCATCCTCCATGCCACCTGCCGGCCCCAGTTGGATTATTATTATTATTATTTATAATTATTTTTATTTATCCATTCATTCTTTTTTTTTTTTTTTTTAATTTGACCAGAGAGAGACAGAGGTTGAGAGTGAGAGAGAGAGGAAGTGAGAAAGCAAGCCACCAGATTCAGGACTTGAACCCTGGTCGGCCATGTGGGAGTGTCCAGCGCCTTAATCACTATGCCACCTGCTGGTCCTGTGTTGGATTATTTTAAATCACTTACTAATTTGTGTCTTAAGTTTTGAGTATATGACTGAACTTTTTAATTTCTGAGAAAACAGTTCATTGAGGGGCCGGCAGGTGTTGTGGCGGTTAAGGGTGCTGGACTCCCACGTGGTTGACCATGGTTCGAGTCCCAGACCTGGCAGCTTACATTTTTAATTTTTTTTTGGGGTGGGGGGAGTTTTTTGCTATAGGATACGTGTGCTCACCAGAAAGACAGACAGAAAGCGAGAAATCACCCCCCGGGGGGATGGCCACGCCACAGTTCCTCTCCTCCATTCTCCTCTCGAGATCTTGGGCACGCATCCACACGCGCCCAGTGTGAGTTTAAACCACTGGGTCTGGGACTCGAACTGTGGTCGATTACATGGGAGTCCAGCGACATAGCCGTTACGCCAACTGCTAGTCCCAGTGGCTTACTTTCTTACTTTCTCTCTCTCTCTCACTCTGTCCCTCTCTGGTAAAATTTTTAAGAATAATGAATAAGTAAATAAAGATAAATGAAATAATTCTTTTTTTAAAAAGGAAAACAGTTAAATGAAAAAATAAAAGTGTTACATGCTCTCATGCAGAATAGAAGATATGAAGTGAAAAGTTAAGTATCTTGTGCTTCAGAATTAGGGTTTTATGACTTTTTAATTTCAATGATCTGGAAACTATTTCTTAACACACACTTAGATATTCGCAAGGTAGACTTGTCAAGAAACCTGCTGCCCTCGTGGGGTGAGGTGGTGCACATTGCCGAGCAGCTGAAGCACCTGCAAGTCCTCAACCTGAGGTAAGGACTCTCAAACGTCAAGCTCCTAGCCCCCGACTCCCTCTGGGGTCCCTCGTTCACAGCCGGAGTGACATGGGAGGGCTACCGCATGCTGAGTGTTGTAACGGGCAGAGTCTGGCTACTCCAACTCCTCGGACTCTTCCTCAAGGATGTGTTGATTATCACAGTGCCTTTTATATTTTTCAGGTTTTTGTCCTAGGGCTGGCTGGAGAAACAGAGCGGGGAGGAGGGAGTGTAACACCTCCTAGGGGGGTGGCCATGCCAGTCCCTTCTCTATTCTCGGGATTTGGGGCACACAGGTACCCGTGCCCGGCATGGTTTTCAAGCTGGTACTGGTCCCTGGGAGGTCATATTTTTGCAAGCTTAATTATGGAATTCTGGGACGAGGAGAGGGCGGTGTTATTAAAAGTTCTGTTGGGACCAACAGATGGCATGATGGTTATGTTACTGGACTCCCACATAGTCGACTACAGTTCGAGTCCCGGATCCAGTGGCTTAAACTCGCACAGGGCATGTGTGTGTGGTGCCCAAAATCCTGAGAGGAAAAAGGAGAAGGGACTGCGGTGTGGCTGTCCGCCCTGGGGGGTGATTTCTTGCTTTCTGTCTCTCCATTGAGCACACATGCCCTACAGCAAAAAATCTCTTAAAAAAAAAAAAGTTTTGGACCAGCAGATGGCATAATGGTTATTATGTCACTGGACTCTCACATAGTCAACCACGGTTTGAGTTCCAGACCTGGTGACTTGAACCTCATGCCAGGTGTGTGTGTACATGCCCAAGATCCCAGGAGGAGAGTGGAAGAGAAGGGACTGCGGTATGGCCATCTGCCCGGGCACTGATTTCTTGCTTTCTGTCTCTCTGGCAAGCACATGCACCCTATAGCAAAAATCTCGCTTAAAAAAAAAAAGTTGTTTGTGTGGAAGCCCTGAGTTGTGTCAGGGACGAGCCGCTTCACTGGGACCCTTCTTAATCCAGCTTTGATAAGGAGTGCTCAGGTCGCCCTTCCCGCTAACGTCCCAGCCCCCTCTGCACATTCGCTTACTTTTGTTGTCTTTTGTTTAGAGAGATGTTTGCTATAGGACGTATGTGCTTGCTGGAGAGACAGCAGGAAAAAAACCCCTTGGGGGATGGCCACGCCACAGTTCCTTCTCCTTCATTCTCCTCTTGGGTTTCGGACATACGTGCACACACATCCGGCATGAGTTTTACACTGCTGGGTCCGGGACTTGAACTGTGGTTGACTACATGGGAGTCCAGTGACATAACCACTGTCCTATCTGCTGGTGGTTACTTTTCATCTCATAACCTAACTTTCCAGGGAAAAGCCAGGCTTCCCCTTTCCTAGCTGAGCCAGCTTCCCACTGTGGGGGGTGCCGGCCTGACCAGCTATGGTTCCAAGCAGAGCAGATGGGTGCAGTCTGGCCGCGGCTGTGTCTGCAGAGGTGGACTGATGCTTCTTAATGGCTTCTTCCTTTCAAGTGACCATCAAGATCAGGAATCTTCTAAATGAGGCTCTCCAGAAAGAACCCAGAGGCCAGGCCTGACTTCTTCCACCTCGAAAGTGGAAGGGGCAGACTCCATGTAGAGAAGTAGAGAAGCAGATCGATCACCAGCCCAGGTCTCACAGCGGCGAGACCCCTGAGAACTGGCCTCGCTGCATAGTGGGGGGCAGGCTGCCCCGTGTGGACCCTGACCCTGTGTGTCAGCGCCCCCAGCCTCTCGTCTGCTAAGACATCTTTGTGTGTCAGACTCCAAAATGCTGTGTATCGTCCAGAATGGACTCGTGTGTTTTTAAGAAAAGGTCTTTTTTTTTTTGAGAGAGAGATTTTTGCTATAGGGCATGTGCCCTCTCTGGACAGCCAGAGACAGAAAGACAGAAAGTAAGAAATCACTCCCCCAGAGGGGATAGCCACACCACAACCCATTCCTCTTGGGATCTTGGGCATGCACACACGTGCGCCCAATGTGTTTCAGTTCACCGGGTCTGGGACTTGAACTGTGGTTGACTACATGGGAGTCCAGTGACATAACTGCTGTACCATCTGCTGGTCCCAAGAAAATGTCATTCTAAGGTGAAATCCCAGCTTGTCGCCGTCGTCGGCGTTGGGTCTCCTGTGCATGGTGTGTCTGTCCACAGTGAGAATAAGCTCCAGTTCCCCTGCACTTCAGCGTCTCCCACTGGAACGTTCTCTGCTCTGAAGGTGCTAGTCCTCAATCACACAGGAGTCACGTGGGCAGAGGTGAGCGTGATTCTTTGGTCTGTTGTTCAGTAGTGAGCAATTTAAAATGTCGGGCTTAATAGGAATTTGCACTGTGGCTTCATTTTAAGTACCCTGTAATCCAAGAACTAGGTGTCTTTAAAGTGCCCTTCAGAGGGGAGCGTGACGGGGAGCGGGCGGGCAGCACCCTCGGCTCCTGCTGGCCGGCTGCTGGCCGGCTGCCGTGTGTGCTCTGCGGCCGCACGCCGCTCTTAGAAGCCGCAGTGCGTGCTCCCTCGCTGTCCTGTGCCGGAAGCTGGGCAGCAGAAAGGCACTCATGCCCTCAGCCTGCTTGAAGCTCAGCTCCTGAAACTCCCAGTGCACGGCCGGCCCTGAGGCACACGCGTGGCTCCTTGGCCCATGTCACTGCTCTGTGGAGCTGCTTATGCCACACCCAACACACCACGTTCCACGAGCCAGTGGGAAGACACCTGCAGCCATTCATCCGCAGGTTGCCCCAGACACGGGACCCCTCAGCACGAGCCGGAGCAGGGCTCTCCGTGGACCTGCCTGTGGCTCCCCCCCCCCGCCCCTCCTGGGACGTGCTGTCTCCCAGGGCCGCTCGGCCTCAGGAGGGCACGGAACCCAGGGCTGGGAGGGCAGCCAGATCAAGTGGGGAGACCATGACTTCGTCACAGCTCAGACAAGCACCCAGGCGTGAGCCCAAGGCGCCTTACAGCTGCTGCAGGGTGGGTTCACGTGTGCTCCGCGGCGTGAACATGCAGCCCTCCACCCTGTGGACGTGCTGTCTCCCAGGGCCGCTCGGCCTCAGGAGGGCACGGAACCCAGGGCTGGGAGGGCAGCCAGATCAAGTGGGGAGACCATGACTTCGTCACAGCTCAGACAAGCACCCAGGCGTGAGCCCAAGGCGCCTTACAGCTGCTGCAGGGTGGGTTCACGTGTGCTCCGCGGCGTGAACATGCAGCCCTCCACCCTGTGGTGTGGACACCGCAGCGTCACCCAGCCCGGTACCCTGACCTGTGCTGAGAGAGTGAGCAGGTGCTTGATTTCCTGCTTTTTAAAAAAGGTCTTTGTCTTAGGGTGTGTGCGCTCACCAGAGAGAGACAGAATGTAAGAAATCACCCCCCAGGGGGATGGCCACACTGTAATCCCTTCTCCTCCCAGGATATTGGGAATGGATGCACACACGCCTAGTGTGAGTTTCAAGCTGCCGAGCTGGACTCAAACTGTGGTCAGCCTTGTGGGAGTCCAGCAATGTGGCCACTACGCCATTTGCTGGCCTGTACATCTTGTTTTAAAAGAATTATTTATTTATTATTATTTTTCAGTTTTGACCAAAGGAGAGAGCAAGCTGCCAGGTCCGGGACTCGAACCATGGTCAGCCACGTGGGAGTCCAGCACCTTTAACCACCATGCCACCCACCAGCCCCCTACTTTTTTTTTAAGATGAGATCTTGTCGTGTCTGAGACAGCATCTCACTTTGTTGCCCAGGCCAGCCTCAAGCGGGTGACACTCCTGCCTCGGCCCTCGGCTCTAGAGTCATTGGTGCACAGCACCACATCTGTGCCCAGGGGAGTTGGAACTGGCCTGAGGGACTTGGTTTCTGAAATAAACAGTAAATAAATTGACCCCCCGGGTGAGAGCAGTGAGCACCTGGGTGAAGCCACCACAGCCGCCCAGCACTGACTTGGGTCTCCCTGCAGGTGCTCCGGTGTGCCCCGGGGTGGCCTGTCCTGGAGGAGCTGTACCTCGAGTGCAACGGGATCCGCATTTCAGAGAGGTAACACGCGGCCGAGGCCTTTCTCCTGGTGGTGCTTCGCTAGAAACGGCTGTGTCCAGGGCTTGCGAGTCAGAGTTAGAGAAACCGACATTACCCATGGCCCGCGTGGGTTAGAACATTAACCACACCTACATTGGTTCTGACCTGGGGAGCCTCACCAGAGCAAAGCTCTGATTAAACATTTCTGAAAGCATGGATTTCACTGGTTTTGCTTAAATATATTTAACTTGTTGCTTCTGAAGGAAGGCTGTAGAGCATGTACTAGGTTAAATAATGCTTCTAGCCGGCGCCAGTGTGACGGTCAGCCCAGAGGTACCTGCACAGGCTCTCTCTGGGCTGCCCGGTGGTTGGTGGCCACGGTGGCCGGCTGCAGCTAGGAAAGCACGCCCAGAACCCACGACTGTCGGAGCAGTTGGTGGCGTGGCCACTCTGGCCAGGTTTCTCTTAAGTATGTAGTTGCTTCATTTCCCTCTTTCATTAAGTTATGTAGAATAAACTTCACTGTGGGAAAAACGATAGCAGATTCTCAGTTGAAGGATTTAAATGAGATTTTATTGTACGTGATTTCATTTACTGTAGGCGCCGCCCCATGTGTTTTCTAAGGGAAGCTGTTACTCTGAGGAGAGCGTAGATGCCTGTCAGATGAGGCACACGGGAGTCACCCGTGGGCTCCCGTCTCCCCACAGCTCTGAGAGACAGCAGGAGGCGCGGGTCACAGGTGTGCGGTGTGGACGGGCGTCTCGCCCACGGGCTCCCGTCTCCCCACGGCTCTGAGAGACAGCAGGAGGCGCGGGTCACAGGTGTGCGGTGTGGACGGGCGTCTCGCCCGTGGGCTCCGCAGCTGCCTGCTGCAGGCCACCCCCACCCCAGGCCCAGCTCTCCACACACCAGTGCAGGGTCTAAAGGCTGTGCTATTGCAACAAGACATTCACCTTGGTGAAAAGTTTATTTTTAATGCAGGCCGACTGATGTTCTCCAGACGGTGAAGTTATTAGACCTCTCCTCTAATCCATCGATCGAGGAAAACCAGCTGTCTCTGATAGCGTATCTGCCCAGGTAATGTGCTCTAAAATGCGCGTTACGGGAGTGCTCTGTTACTCTTCAGGGAGCGAGTTACCACGTGCTAAGCATCATAGGAATACAGTTGTGATGGGATGCTCAGATGCCGTGGCCCCTTTGGGCGTCTGGATGTGATTAGAGAACTTACTGTGAGCCGTGTGCAGTGTGGGCCGTCCCCGCTGACCAGGTGGGAGGTGGGTAGTCCGACACTGGCCATGCCGGCGGAATTCCTCATCCGTGCCATATCGGGAAGACCCCGTGTCGTCCCTGACATCCATGTGGCACCTGACGTGGGGCAGCCGCGGAGCCGTGCGGCTGGGTGGCTGCAGTTTTCGGAACACAACAGTCTGTTCTACGCTCTCAGTGGAGCTCCGTGGTTTCCAAGCGTTTGTGTGGGCTTAAGCGCAGGGTGCAGGAGCCTCACCTGGCTGAGGATACCCGTGCACCGTGCACTGTCTGTGTGATCACATCTGTCTGGGTTTTTTCTTTTTTTAAGATTTTTGCTCTAGGGTGTATATGCTCACCAGAGAGAGAGAGACAGGCAAGACAGAAAGTGAGAAATCACTTCCTGGGGGGAATGGCCATACCACAGTCCCTTCTCTTCCATTCCCTTGGTATTTTGGACACACACACACACACACACACGGGCCCAGCCTGAGTTTTAAGCCGCTGGGTCCAGGACTCGAATTGTGGTCAACTCCATGGAAGTCCAGTGACATGACCATTACCCCATCTGCTGGTTTCCAAACTTGTCATTTAATTTCAGATTGGAACAACTCATCCTTTCTGACATTGGGATCTCTTCGATCCACTTCCCGGACGCTGGCATTGGTATGTGGGGTCGGTAAAGCCCCCTCGCACTTCAGCCGCCTTTTCACCTCTGCTGCGCGACTAACTCTCCTTTCCTAGGGGGCAAAACGTCAATGTTCCCGTCCTTGAGGTACCTTGTCGTCAACGACAACCAGATCTCACAAGTAGGCGTCTCCTCAGCGTGCATTACACTCTCATTTCCCCTCTCGGGGTGGCGTTTGTGGGCTCCTCCTGTTAGAAATAGCTCAGGCCCAGCTGTGAGGCACCTGGCCGGGTGCTGCTGCACACGGGGCCACGGGGGCAGCCTGGCTCAGGCCCTAGGCTGATCCGCACGTGCCTGCATGCCCAGGGCCACCCTGACGCTGGCCAGCTGGCAGGCTCGGGGTGGGGATCTTTTTCTTCTTGTCCTTTTTTTATCCCAGGACACAAACTTTAAACAGGAATTCCGGTTCCCAGCCCATCCTCAGCAGCACGGGCAGTACTGTGCCGAAGAACAGGGTGAGAGTGGCCGGGACGGTACAGGGGGCACACATACACGTGCAGGAGCACAAATACTGTGCCGACGCACAGGGTGGGAGTGGCCGGGACGGTGCAGGGGGCACACATACACGTGCAGGAGCACAGCAGCCATCAGGGCTTTCCTCATGTTTCTGTTTTTTTCTTTTGGAGAGGTTTTTGCTATAGGGTGCGTGCACTCGCCAGACAGAGACAGAGAGACAAAAAGCGAGAAATCACCCCCCATGGAGGATGGCCACGCTGCAATCCCTTCTCCTCCATTCTCCTCTCGGGATCTTGGGCATGCACATGAGCCTGGCATGAGTTTAAGCCACCGGGTCCGGGATTCAAACCACAGTGGACTATGTGGGAGTCCAGCGACATAGCCATTATGCCAACTGCTGGTCCCAGGGTGCTTTTCTGTTTTGTTTTGTTTTGTTTTTCTCTCATGAAAAAACGTTAGCAGGTAAACTTGGAAATATGTCTACTTCAGGGTGGCTGTGGCCGGGAAGCCAGACCCTGGCCACAGCAACTGGAAACACACGGTGCATGTGGGTACACACCTAAAACCCTGACAGCATGAGGTGGGGACGGGACTGTGGCATGACCTCCCCCCACGGGGATGCTCTCTCCCAGTCTCCACTGAGCACACATGCCTAAGCAACCCCCTCCAAAAAATAGGAAAATATACTTTAAGTAGAAAGTGACGCTTCCCTAGAGTGAAACTCCTCAAATAGAGGAGAACTACATTAAGAAAGACAAGAGGCTTGGATTAGCCAGAGTCCGTGCAGCAGACCCTGTGCGTGATGTCCTGGACGTGGCAGCTTGGGCGATGCTGACCGGGCGCACTCAGGGTAGGGAAGGGCGAGAGGAGGGGCTGCAGCTCGACCGTCCCCTGCGAGGAGCGCCTTCTCCACCTCTCCCTCTTGCTCTGTCTCTGTCGAGCATGTGTACCCACCAGCACGTGCACATACTCTCACACTCACACATTAGCTCAATTCTCATGTAGGCAGAGTGTCATTTTAAGGGCACAGTTCCAGAACGAAAAAGCTGTGGTCCTCCCCATGGGACGAGCCGAGCTCTGTGGCCCCCACCCCCAGTCAGGACGGGGGCTTCTGCATTTCAGTTGCTCGCTCCGTCCCCTGCAACAGTCGCCTACGACACGCTCTGCACTGACTCCCTCCCGCTCACTTCCAGTGGGCGTTCATCAACGAGCTGGACAAGCTGCCCAGCCTGCACGCCTTGTCCTGCATCCGAAACCCCCTGACTGCAGGGAGCCGGGACGCACAGACTACGCGGCAGCTCATCATCGCCAAGGTCGGCCAGCTGACGGCCCTGAACAAGTGTGAGGTGAGCGCCCGGCTGCTCCTTCGTAGACCAGAAAGTGAGTGGCCAGAAAGTGGAAAGAGGAGCTGTTCTGGGGGCCAGGTGCTGGCCCAGTGCTGGAGTAGGTGGACCCATACGTGAGGTCCTGGGCTCTGTCCTGGGCTCCCCCAGCATCCCTGCACCCTGCCCTGGGCTGGCCAAGACCAGGTGGGTCCCGGCACGAAGACCCGAGGACCTGCCTCTTGCATGGAAGTGGAACACGCCAGCAGTTACTTGTACAGTAGGGCACTGTACCTGGGTACTGAAAGGGTGGAAGGCGTGGCGTCCACCGCGCAGTGAGACGCCGTCCTGTGCGTTGCAGTGACAGGGCTCCCCGACTTCTCAGAGGGCATGCTCTGTGTGGACCTGTGCGGGAGGCCCTTGCCATGTTGCCCGGAGGGGTGAGGGGTGCGAGCACTGTCCCCTTTTTCCCAGGGGAAGGTCGGCAGGGTAGTCACCACCACCAGGCTTGTCTATCCCGGTGTCCAGGGCGGCTACTCAAGCCCGTGACAGGTGTCCTCAAACACCCAGGACTGGTGGCCTATGGGCAAGTGTTGTTTCAGAGAAAAGGATAAAACTGGGATTCTGTGTCCTTTCTGAATAATGTCCGTCTCCTGTTGGTGTTAGGAAAGACAAGAGGCCGAGTGGGTGGCGCAATGTCAGGTGCTGGGCTCCCACACGGCCCGCTGTCGTCCAAGTCCTCGACCTGGCGGCGGGAACATCACGCCTGCCCCACTTCCCAGGAGGGGAACAGAGAAGCGACTGGAGCCATCTTCCCCAGGGGTGGTTTCTCACGCTCCTTCCCACTGTCTTGGATGAGTGCACGCGCCCTACACAGACTAAATGGGGAGCCGTGATTACCATGTGCCGTCTTGGACCTCTGCTGTCCTCCAGTGGACGCTGGAGGATGGCCAGGGCACAGACACACAGGAGACACACCCACACGCTCCTCTTCACCTAGATTCTCCCAGAGGAAAGGCGTGGAGCAGAGCTAGACTACCGCAAGGCCTTCGGACTTGAATGGAAAAAGGCCGGAGGACACCAGGACCCGGACCGGGACCGGCCTAGTGAGGCCTTCCTTGCGGCTCACCCCCGGTACCCAGCGCTGTGTCTCAGTAGGTACCGCGGCCTGCAGCCCCCCGGGAGGCACCACTCAGCTGTCTAGGTCTCAGTTCCTGCCTTGCCCCTCCTGGGGTGTTTGGTTTCAGCTAGAGGGACTGTCAGTGCTTCCCCGGGGCTCCTTCAGCTGTTGTAGAGTAAAAGGCCGAAGCAAGGCTAGCAGGAGCATGGTGGGTAAGGTGCCGATCTCCCACGTGGCCGACTATGGTTTAAGCCCCAGACATGGTGGCTTGTGCACACATTCCCAAAATCAAGGGATTGTGGCATGGCCACCCCCCTGGGCGGGAGATTTCCTGGCCACTGTGGTGAATTCTAAGTCTCCGGGTGAGGAAGGTTTTGAGCAGCCCAGCAGGCAGTGCTCTAGAGGGCCAAGGTGCAGGTACGTGGGGACAGGAGAAGACCTTGGACACGTCGGCCCAAGGGAGGGAGGAGCCCTGCTTTTCTGCAGCTGCTGTGAACCCGCTCCAGGCAGAGGGCAGGTTTGCAGCAATGGCGCTGAGTCCGGCCTGGCGTTGCACAAACTGAACTTTGTGTCCCAGTAGTGGCTGGGTTCCCCCCCAGGCCCCAGATGTTGGCAGTGTGTGGCAGCTGTGCTCTGCCTACTAGTCTGGCAGGCAGGCAGGCTGTATCTGTCAAAGGAACAGTGAGGCCACCCATAGGTGATGGCGCACCCCTGGGAGCACTGCCCCCACCTCCCCAGACTCAGCCGGGTGCTGAGAAAAAGGGGCTGCCCCCAGGCTGGCATCCCGTCCAGGGTGAGGGCTCTTGGAAAGAAAAGGCGCCAACACTTTTTCAGTGACCTTGGGTTGATCACTCTTCTCTTTATTTTTTCTTAAACAGAATATGGTGCACCTGAAGATGGGGAACTCAAAATACAACAGCCATTTATGCTCAAAAACCAGCTACTCTGTAAGCACCCCCTTAAACAGCCTTGTGTACTGAGTCCTTAGGCGCGCAGGCAGCGGAGTGGCCTGGTAGGGTGAAGCGTGCTCTCTAGGGAGATGCCGTGGGCTGTAAACAACGCGCAGTTCCCAGACAGACTTCGGTTCTCACACTGAGTGCGGCAGCTTCCGCGTGATAAACGCATCGAATGGCGGCGTATGCATGGGAGCCATCGAGCCTGGCTTCCTTACACTCAGGACCTGGATAAACCATCAGAAACGGAGCCCCAAGGCAGATGGGGAAAGCCATGGGTCTTGGGCGAGCTATCTTTGCTGGAATTTGTGGATGCGCTGGGAGGAGTGTTACAGGTCAGCGAGGCTGTCCTCTGGCCAGGCTCGGCCAGGCTGTACCGAGCGGCTCTGGTATGGGACAGCCCGCTAACTTCATATATAATTTAAGCCCTGTCACAGTGGATTTCAATGTTTTTCCTTTTTTCCTTAAAGCACTGAAGATAAAATATCCTAATCATCTTGATCAGAAAGTTCTAGAGAAGCAACTGCCAGGTAAGAAGCTTGTGCCTCCTTTGCGCCAAGCCTGAGCGGGCCGGCCCTCCCGCCTTGGGTGAGAGAGCTGGGTCTCGCATGGCCGACCCCGCAGGTCGAGAGGCCCAGCCTCCACAGCTGGGAGCACATGCTGGTTGTGCACCCCAGACCCCACCAGGATGGAGGGATGGAGAAGGGGTCATGGCACAAGGACACCCTTATTGGGATGCTTTCTCCCCGTCTTTGTCTTCAGCCTATCTAGAAGAAGGTCTTGTTAAATTGGAGGTTGTGGGGGCCGGCAGGTGGCGTGGTTAAGGCACTCGATTCCCATGTGGCTGACCACAGTTCAATTCCCAGACCTGGAGGCTTGCTTTCTTTCCATTTCTCTCTGTCTCCCACTAGTCAGATTAAACAAATGATGATGATGATAAATTAAGTAAAATAATTCTTTAAAAAACGGGGAGATTTTTACATTATTTTGAACGGAAGGCCTAAGAGCTTGA